CCAAAAAAAAAAAAAAAAGAACCTGGAACATGGTAAGAGCTTAATGATAGTTAGCTGTATAACATTAGAAAGAAATCTCACTAAATTACTACAGCTACTATTACTACTACTACTACTACTAGCAATTAGCTATTCTGTTTTAAAGTTTTCAAAGTGTTTTACATAGCTTATTTCATGTGTTCCTTATAACAACCCTATGAATTGGATATTATTATCATATCTATTTTTTAAAAATGTATTTTATGATTGTGATGGAATACTACTGTGCTATAAGAAATGATGAGCTAAATGATCTTAAAAAAACATGGAAAGGATAGCATGAAATAAAGAAGAGCAAAATGAGCAGAACCAAGAGAACATTGTATACAGTAACAGCAATATTGCTTTAAGAAGGACTTTGAGCGATTAAGTTATTTTGACTATTATAAATTCACCAATTGACTGTAAAGGACATATTATTCCCGTTTTCAACTGAGGGAAAGTGGGACTGAGAGGGGCTGAATGCCTTGCGCAAGGTTGCTCAGCCAGTAACTGTCTGAGGCAGAATTTGTATTCGGGGTCTTTTTTTTTTACTCCATCTATCTATGCCACACTTGACCACTGCCCTGCTTAGCTTGCAAAATAGCATAATGTGGCACTTCACCCTTTAAAGTACTCCTCTGCTCCATCATTCTGGTATGGAGATGATGTTGGGATTATGAGGGTTATGCTGGAAGAGTTCAACATTTGGCAGGTCCAGTCAAACAGAGATGCAGGCATAGACCTGTCATTGCCCTATATGTCATGTAAGGACCAGACTACTGCCTTGATCACATGATGATGATTATTTTTTATTTTTGGCCATGATAATGCAGAACCATCTTTAAGACAGAATAATTGCAGGTTATATCAATGACTGGAGTATCCAAAGTAAGTGAATTCACAGATATGTGATGTCATAACAAAAGTAATGTCTTATTTCAAATGTCTTTAAAATGCCCTCCCCCTCCCTAAATCTCTTGAATATATTTTGTATTTATTCCTTATATGTACATTTTATTTTCCTCCAGTAAAATGTAAGGTATTTTAAAATAAGAAACTGTTTAATTTTCTGGGTTGTCTCCCCACCTAGCACAGTACTTGGCATATAGCAGGTGCATAATAAATTTATTTATTTATTAAATTATAGTATTTTATTTAGCAGGGTTGGTTTTTTACATATATAAGTATTATTTTTCCTCAGAGACTAATGCTGTTTGTATAGGATGCCAATTGTGCAGATGTTTAAACATACGTGGATGACTGAGTTTGTCAGTGGTGTTTGTTAGCATTCCGTCTTGGTGAAGGGTTTGTTATAAAAAAAGAATATTGAAGTATGAGAGAAAGAAATTATACATTAAAAAGAGAGAAAGATGAAGAAAGAAAGAATGAAAAGGAAAAGAATGATAGATAATATAAGGAGAAAGAAAGAATGAATGGGAGAGTGATATAGAGAGAAAGACAGGGAGGAGAGGGAAAGAAATAAAAACAGAAGAAAAGAAACAATGACAGAAAGAAGGAAAGACAATAGAGAAAAAGCAGAAGGAAGAAAGGGTGGGAGAAAGGAAGGAAGAAATGGAAGGGGATGGAAGAAAGAGAGGAAAAAAGGGAAAGAAGGAGGAAGGAAGAGAAGAAGGAAGGGAGAGAAAAAGGAAGGAAGGGATGAAGGAAGAAAGGAAGTGAGGGAGGGAAGGAGGAAGAAAAGGAGGGAGGAAGAAAAGACAAAGGAAGGAAAGAAAAAAGGACTTGGTGAAGGAGAAGGAAAGAAGGAAGGAAGAAAAAAGAGAGGGAGGGAGGAAGGAAGAAGAAAGAGAGGGAGGAAGGAAGGAAGAAAGGAAGGAAGGAAGGAAGGAAGGAAGGAAGGAAGGAGGAAGGAAGGAAGGAAGAAGGAAGGAAAGAAAGAAAGAAGAAAGAAGAAAGAAAGAAAGAAGAAGAAGAAAGAAAGAAAGAAAGAAAGAAAGGGAAGGAAGGGAAGGAAGGAAGGAAGGAAGGAAGGAAGGAAGGAGGAGGAAAGAAGAAAGAAAGAAAGAAAGAAAGAAAGAAAGAAAGAAAGAAAGAAAGAAAGAAAGAAAGAAAGAAAGGTAACACTGTGTACTCCCAGTTCTCCAGAGCAGGGAACCTACATTTTGATCCCTCGAGGGATCATATTAAGAATTTAAGGCAGGCCTACTAAGCAGCTGCTCTGATTCCTGCCTCATTTGTCACAGGGCAGGGTTAACTATTTACTTTGCATCTTCTACAACCCTAACACAGTCCCTGGCACATTGTGAACCCTTGGTAATGGCATTGTCTCCCTCTCCTCTCCAACTCCTATCCTGATACTAGGGGATTTTAATATGGGTGCTGATGTTATCTCAAACATGCTAACTTCTTATAGGGGCAGCTAGGTGGAGCAATGGATGGAGCACCGGCCCTGAAGTCAGGAGGACCTGAGTTCAAATCCGACCTCAGACACTTGACGCTTGCCAGCTGTGTGACCCTGGCCAAGTCACTTAACCCCAATTGCCTCACCAAAAAAAAAACAACAACAACACCAAAACATAGTCTGGCATCACATTAACTATGTGTCAAAGAAACAATCTCATACTGTGTTTAGGACCAAACACTTCAGACTCATTCATCAATTCATCCATTCATTTCTTCATTTATAAGCAGTCTTCATAGAAAATTCTCAAGTTCAGAATTTTTTAAAATTTTATTAATTTATTTTGATTTATCAACAATCACTTCCATATGCTTTTGAGTTGAAAATTTTTCTCCCCCTTCCTCCCCACCACCCTCCCCAAGACTGTGCACAATCTGATATAGGCTTTACATTTACATACCCATTAAACATATTTTCACATTAGTGAAGTTGTAAGTAAAAATTAAAACCAGTAGGAGGAACCATCAGAAAGATGAAACAAAACAGAACAGAAGGTAAGAAAAGAAGTGATAGCGATTCGATTTCCATAGTTCTTTCTTCGGATGTGGACAGCATTTTCCATCCCGAGGCCTCTGGAGATGTCTTAGATCCTCGTAATGCTGACAAGGGTTCAGTTTAACAATCTTAGTCATTGCACAACATGGCCGTTATTGTGTACAAAGTCCTCTTGGTTCTTCTCACTTCACTCAGCATCAGACCATATAAGTCTTTCCAGGTTTTTCTGAAGTCAGCCTGTTCATCATTTCTTATAGCACAATAGTATTCCATTACATTCATATGCACAACTTGCTCAGACATTCCCCAGTTGATGGGCATCCTCTCAATTTCCAATTCTTTGCCACCACAAAAAGAGCTGCTAGGGAATATTTTTGTACATGTGGGTCCTTTTCCCATTTGTTTGATCTCTTTGGGATATAGCCCTAGAAGTGCTATTGCTGGATCAAAGGGTATGCACATTTTTGTAGCCCTTTGGGCATAGTTCCAAATTTTTCTCCAAAATGGTTGGATCATTTCACAACTCCACCAACAATGTATTAGCGTTCCAATTTTCCCACATCTTCTCCGACATTTATCATTTTCCTGTTTTGTCATGTTGGCCAATCTGATAGGTATGATGTAGTACCTCAGAGTTGTTTTGATTTGCATTTCTCTAATCAATAACGATTTAGAGCATTTTTTCATATGACTATAGATGGCTTTAATTTCTTCATCTGAGAACTGTCTGTTCATATCCTTTGACCATTTATCAATTGGGGAATGGCTTGTGTTCTTATAAATTTGTCTTAATTCTCTATCTATTTTAGAAATGAGGCCTTTATCGGAGAGACTGGTTGTAAAAATTCCCAATTTTCTACCTTCCTTCTAATCTTAGTTGCATTGGCTTTGTTTGTGAAAAATCTTTTCAATTTAATGTAATCAAAATTATCCATTTTGGTTTTCATAATGTTCTCCATCTCCTGTTTGGTCATGAATTCTTCTGTTCTCCATAGATCTGATAGGTAAACTATTCCTTATTCTCCCAGTTTACTTATGGTATCAGCCTTTATATCTAAGTCATGAACCCATTTTGACTTTATTTTGGTATATGGTGTGAGATTTGGGTCTATGCCTAGTTTCTGCCATACTCTTTTCCAGTTTTCCCAGCAGTTTTTTTCAGAGTGGGTTCTTATCCCAGAAGCTGGGGTCTTTGGGTTTATCGAAGAATAGGTTACTATAGTCATTGACTACTTTGCATATTTAACCTATTCCACTGATCCACCTCCCTATTTCTTAGCCAGTACCAAGCAGTTTTGATGATTGCTGCTTTATAATGCAATTTAAGATCTGGAATGGGCTAGGCCACCTTCCCCTGCATTTCTTTTCATTAGTTCCTTTGATATTCTGGACCTTTTGTTTTTCCAAATGAATCTTGTTATTATTTTTTCTAACTATAAAATAATTTCTTGGTAGTTTGATTGGTATGGCACTGAATAAGTAAATTAGCTGGATAGGATTGTCATTTTTATTACATTAGCTCGGCCTACCCATGAGCAACTGATGTTTTTCCAATTATTTAGATATGATTTTATTTGTGTGAAAAGTGTTCTGTAATTGTGTTCATAGAGTTCCTGGGTTTGTTTCAGGAGGTAGACTCCTAAATATTTTATAATGTCTACAGTAAGTTTCAATGGGATTTCTCTTTCTATCTCTTGCTGTTGGGCTTTGTTGGTAATATATAGAAATGCTGATGATTTATATGGGTTTATCAAATTCAAAATTCTTAATAACTCTGACAGGCAGACAGAATCAAGTAGGTTATGTATGTACTGAGGGTCAATGGATGTACCAAATTTAGAGTTTCTATTCCTGCTTCCAATTCACCAAGTAGGAGCTTTGGGACCTCCTTATGACCATGTATACTTCAGGCTTAAAGGACTTCCAAGTTAGAGTTTTCCTTAATCCCCTATAGCTTCTATGAGTCCTTGTCCATCTGTCATACAGAGCATTTATCCTGCTAAGACAATAATGAATAAGGGTTTGGCTTACTTCATTTCTGTTTGTTCTTTCTTGTTCTTAGGAGAATGCGTATCTATCATGAGATGGGTGTGCCCAGGCTTGGAGGTGACTTTGTGAGTTCCAGAGGTCCAGAAGTATTGGATGCCACTGGACTAGATCCCAAGGGCAGCAGGGGAGGTGTCCCCAGCAACTATACCAGTGTTCTTGGAAAGGACAATCCTACAATGACGCAAGTCCAGCTATTTTACCAGAAGACATGGACTGGGATTCGTTCAGACAGTTTGGAATCAATGTGAAATCAAAACCACTTAATTTGTAGTCCTGCAAACTGTTGTGTTCCAGTGAGGTTTAAGTAGAAGTCTCCTAGCAGATGTTTTAGTTATAACAATACTGAATTATTGATTCTGTTTTAAGTTGATCAGTTAATGCTTACTGTGAATTTTTCATGTTTATCATTTCTTTTGTTTCTAGGAATAAATTGCACATTCCATATCTGATTCATCACATTAAGTACCTTTTTACTCCCTACTTTTGGAGACATCCCAGACATACCACAATTTGAAGTATAAGTAAAAATTTTCCCTACGGAACTGGGATGGGGGTTGAATAACAACTACCTAAGGGGGCTTATGAAATATTAATGATGGTGAGAAAATGGAGTCTAACTCCTCTCTAAGATACTAGGATTGAATGTGATCCAAAAGTCATGCCTTTTGGATCACCTTTTATTGAGGAGGGAGTGGCACTGTTCCTCATCCTTATGTGCCCAACAATGATTTCTTTTTGTTATATATGCTATCAAAGATGTTTACTCTAGAGGGCTGATTAGGAAAAAAAAACAAAAGGTAATGTTACAAAACAGAAGATGCTACATTATCTCAAGTTCCTCTGTATATTGTATAGGACAAGATATAGCACACTATCTCAAGGTTTCCCCAGCTGGACATTTGCATTGCTATAACTTTTAGAATAAGCAGCTTTTGATTCTTGAATAAATGACCCATTATCACCTACCATCTTAACTCAATGCAACTACTTTTGGTGGTAAAGTTGAGGCCTGCTTATTTTTACTTCTCTATACATTTACCCATACTGAATTTGTGATCTACTAAAACTGGGTATATCTATCTGTCTAGTTATTACATCTATCATCTCTATCACTTCTATCACTATATCTAAACATATTTGTGTACACATAGATACACACAGACACATAGATAGATAGATAGATAGATAGATAGATAGATAGATAGATAGATAGATGTATATATCATCCCTGGATCCAGAAGAAAGGATATTTGTATATCTTTATATGTATGTATGTATGTATGTATACATATATATATATATATACACACATATAAATGTGTGTATAGTATGTACTATATATCTATATTTAGCTTTATCTGTATCTATACCTATATAGTGTATGTGTAGAATAGTGTCTTGATAACTGCCATCTATCTCTGTTTCCTTCTAAGTCACTGATAAAAATATTGACCAGTTCAAGGCTAAGATCCCAGCCCTGCAGCATAGGGCTCGAGACCTGCATCCAACTTAACATCAATTTATTAATCAGTATTTTGGATGTATATTCACTCAAATAGTTATGAATACACAAAAATTACATTATTGCACCAGCCCATGTTTTCCCCATGATACATAGGGATATTGGGAGAGGTTTGGTCAAAAAAATTACTGAGATCCAGATGAACAAAATCAGTAGCATTTCCCTAATTTCCAGTCTAACAATGTCATAAGAGAAAAAGAAGTTATTCTGACTCATGTTGGTACATCCATGCTGTCTCCTAGGGATTGGTGCTCCACTTTCTTATATGTCTTAATTGCAGTCTTTGACTTAATCAACAGCAATCGACTCTGGGGAAAAAATGAGGAGACAACTAATATTGATTCATATCTTATTTTTGCCTTCAATAATGTCATAGTAACACATAGTAGGTGCCTTAATAAGTGCTTATGGACTAACTAGAATAAAAAGTAGGGCTACCCAATTAGTGATAAACAAAGTTAATCATTACTACAATCAGATAACCTTGCTTTGTAGTTATTTAAGGATAGGGGTTGGAACAATGATTTCATTGGCATAGGGAACTCTCAAGTGAGGAAACTTCATCTACTAATGCAGGTTGGAATTTTTTCTTCAACTTCAAGTTGTAAAGAGTTGAAGTGATGCAGGCTCTGGGTTACACACAGCCAATGGTATTAGTGATGGGTCTTGAACCCAGGGCTTTTTGGCCTTCAAGTCAATCCTTTATCCACTATGCCATGCTGCAACTATTTACATTCAAAAAATACTGTTTAACATATAGAATTCCATTGCAATTTTTCAGGCATTCCAAGGAATCATCGTTTGCCTATTTTTTCTCTTTTCATTTTTCCTTTTATATGATGTAGTCAATGTACAGTTTATCCAGGTCTATTTTTTTCACTTGGTGCTATTTCATAAAGTTCTTGTCATATTTCCTTATGTGCCTCATAATTTTTAATTTTAATTGCATTCTAGCATTGATTTTAACAAACTGATTTCAATTGATCATGATTGATATACTGATGGATTTTTTTTGAGACCTGTGATTTCATTGGCTTAGAGAACTCCCAGTGTGGAAATGATCTATACTAGTACAAGACTGGCAACTAGTTATGGGCAACAGGATTACCAATTTAGGGCTGAAAGGGACTATAGGCCAACTAGTCCAACTTCTTCATTTACAAATAGGGAAACTGAGGCCCAGAGAAGTAACTTGCCCAAGGTAATTTTAAAGGGATACTTGGTGGCACTGAGGGGTTAAGTGACCTGCCCCTGGTGACAAAGCTAGTATGCATTAATGGTAGGATTGGAGCCTAGGTCATCCTGAACCCAAACACTTTCTCTTCCCTATGCTATAGTGTTTTTTTAAAATTATTTATTTTTTTTAGTTTTCCACATGTACTTCCATAAGATTTTGAGTTTTAAATTTTCTCTGCCTCTCTCTCTCCCTTTCCTGCTCCCCAAGACAGCATGCAATCTGATATAGGCTCTACTTATGCATTCATATTAAACATATTTTCACATTAGTCATGATGTGAAGAAGAATTAGAACTAATGGGAGTAACCATGAGAAAGAAGAAACAAAACAAAACAACAAAGTAAAAGTACAGCAAATAATATACTTCCATCTGCATTCAGACTCCTAAGTTCTATGTGGAAAGCATTTTCCATCGTGAGTCTTGGAGATGTTTTAGATTCTTGCATTGCTGAGAAGAGCTAAGTATATCAAAATTAGTCATCACACAATGTGGCTGTTGCTGTGTACAATGTTCTCCTGGTTCTGCTCATTTCACTCAGCATCAGTCCATACAAATCTTTCCAGGTTTTTCTGAAGTACACCATTCATCAGTTCTTATAGCACAATAATATTACATTACATTCATACACCACAACTTGTTCAGCCATTCCACAATTGATGGACATCCCTTCAATTTCCAATTCTCTGCCACCACAGAAAGAGCTACTATAAATATTTTGTATTTGTGGGTCTTTTCCTGTTTTTATGATCTCTTTGGGATATAAACCTAGAAGTGGTATTGCTGGGTCAAAGGGTATGCAGAGTTTTATAGCCCTTTGGGCACAGTTCCAAATTGCTCTACAGAATGGGTGGATCAGTTCACAACTCCACCAATAATGCATTAGTGTTCCAACATTTATCCTTTTCCTGCTTTCTGATTGTTAGCCGATCTGATAGGTGTGATGTGGCACCTCAGAGTTGTTTTGATTTGCATTTCTCTAGTCGATAGTGATTTAGAGCATTTTTTCATATGACTATAGATATCTTTAACTTCTTCATCTGAAAATTGCCTGTTCTTATCCTTTGACCATTCATCAATTGGGAAATGACTTGTATTGTTATCAATTCAACTTAGTTCTCTGTATATTTTAGAAATGAGGCTTTTCGCAGAGACACTGGCTATACAAATTGTTTCCCATCTTTCTGCTTCTCTTCTAATCTTGGTTACATTGGCTTTGTGCAAAAAGTTTTCAATTTAATGTATCCAAAATCATTTTGCGTTTCATAATGTTCTCTATCTTTTGTTTGGTCATAAATTCTTCCCTTCTCCATAGATCTGACAGGTAAACTATTCTTTGTTCTCCTAGTTTCCTTATAGTATCAGCATTTATATCTAAATCTTGTACCCATTTTAACTTTATATTGGTGCAGCATGTAAGATGTTGGTCTATGCCTAGTTTCTGCCATATTATTTTCTAGTTTTCCCTAAGTTTTTTGTTAAATAGTGAGTTCTTATCCCAAAAGCTGGGGTCTTTGGGTTTATCAAACAGTAGATTACTGTGGTCATTGACTACTGCGTCTTACATAACTAACCTATTTCACTGATCTACCACTCTATCTCTCAGCCAGTACCAAGTTGTTTTGATGATTGCTGCTTTATAATACAATTAAAGATCTGGTACAGCTTGCATGTCTTTTCATTAATTTCCTTGATATTCTGGACCATTTGTTCCAGATGAATTTTGTTATTGGTTTTTTTTTTCTAGCTCTATAATTATTTAGTAGTTTGATTGGTATGGCACTGAATAATTAAATTAATTTAGGTAGAATTGTCATTTTTATTACATTAGCTCGGCCTACCCATAAGCAACTGATAGTTTCCCAAGTAGTTATATCTGACTTTATTTGTGTGAAAAGTGTTTTGTAATTGTGTTCATATAGTTCCTGGGTTTGTTTTGCTAGGTAGACTCATAGATATTTTATAATGTCTACAGTAACTTTAAATGGAATTTTTCTTTCTCTTGCTATTGGGCTTTGTCAGTAATATATAGAAATGCTGATGATTTATGTGACTTTATTTTATATACTGCAACTTTGCTAAATTTGTTTATTATTTCAAGCAATTTTCAAGTAATTTTTTACTTTATTCTCTAGGATTCATCTGCAAAGAGTGATAGCTTTGTTTCTTCTTTACTTGTTATAATTCCTTCAATTTCTTTTTCTTCTCTTATTACTAAAGCTAACATTTCTAGTACACTATTGAATAACAGTGATGATAATGGACATCCTTGTTTCACTTTTGGTCTTACTGAAAATGCTTCTAGTTTATCCCCATTACACATAATGCTTGCTGATAGTTTTAGAAAGACAATGCCATTTTATTTATTTTATGATATCATTTTAAGGAAGAACCCATTTATTCCTATGCTCTCTAGTGTTTTTAATAGGAATGGGCATTGCATTTTGTCAAATGATTTTTCTGCATCTATTGAGATAATCACATGATTTCTGTTAGTTTTGTTGTTGATATGGTCAATTATGCTCATAATTTTCCTAATATTGAACCAGCCCTGCATTCCTGGTATAAATCCTACCTGGTCATAGTGTATTATCCTTGAGATAAGTTGCTGTAATCTCTCAGCTAATATTTTATTCAAAATTTTTGCATCTCTATTCATTAGGAAAATTAGTCTATAATTTTCTTTCTCTTTTTCAGCT